TCTATCGCTTGCTGCGCCACCCGTCGGACCGCATGGGCTTCCCACCCGGGGCCGCGCAGGCCCTGGTGCTGCAGGTGAGGCGGGCGGGCCTGCGGCTGTCTCTTATACACATCTAGATGTGTATAAGAGACAGGCTCCCTGCATTCCAGTGCAGCATTCCTCAGCTGCCCCAGGCACAGCTCATGTGGGACCAGGTTGGTTTGGATTGCTGTTTTGGAGGGCACAAGCAGTAACCCTTGGCAATGTCTACATGGTGCTAACTCTGCAGGGATGAGTGCATGGGTGGTGGGGTCATGGCAGCTTCCACTTAGTTTTCAAAAGATACATCAAACAGCTTGAGGCCCAGGAAGAAACTTATTGCAGGGGAAGAGCCACCACAGAGAGTCCCTACTAAGGCAATGCGTAGCAGGAATGTGTGGTCAGAGCTGTTACAGAGAGTTCCCACCAGGGCAGCACCTAGTAGAGCCCAAAACTCTAGAGCTACCCTTGTGTAACCCCAGCCTGGGAGAGCTGCAGTCATGAGACTCCAAACCAAGAGAAAGCCATGGGGACCTGGCTGCCTGAGGCCTTGGGGGCCCAATCCCCAAACCAGTGTGCCCAGGATTTAGAACATGGAGTCAAAGGAGATTATTCTCCAGCTTTAGGACTAAATACAGGTTTTTCTCTGCTGGGTTTTGGACTTACTTGGGGCCTGTTGCTGCCATATATTCCATTCTGCAATGTGTTGTATTCACTTCATAAATTCATACCCACGGATTCTCAGTAAATACATGTTGTGTGTGAATAAAAACTATGGATCACTATTTATTCAGCCACCTATGGTTGGGCGTTTAACTCTAGCTTTTCACAATTATAAATAATGTTGTAATGAATGTCCTCCTATAAATAAATCCATACAGTCGCTTGAATATAGTTAAAAGGTAAATTTCTCTTTTTTTTTTTTTTTTTTGAGATGGAGTTTCGCTATTGTTGCCCAGGCTGGAGTGCAATGGCATGATCTCGGCTCACCGCAACCTCTGCCTCCTGGGTTCAAGTGATTCTCCTGCCTCAGCCTCCTGAGTAGCTGGGATTACAGGCATGTGCCACCATGCCTGGCTAGTTTTGTATTTTTAGTAGAGATGGGGTTTCTCCATGTTGGTCAGGCTGGTCTCGAACTCCCAACCTTAAGTGATCTGCCCGTCTTGGCCTCCCAAAAGTGGTGGGATAACAGGCGTCAGTCACCGCGCCCAGCTGGTAAATTTCTAGTAGTGAAATCGCTTGGCCAATATCTATGTACATTTTGATTTTCAATAGTGTACTGGATTTCTTTTTCTTGCCTTTTCTGATCTGCTCTCCACCTTCTTCCAACCTACTTTCCTCCCTGGAAGGCTGATCCAGATGAAAAGGGTTAGCCTGTTCATCTTAACTTCTGGCTTCAAAATGGATGTGACCATTAGTCACTACCAGCAGAAAGTCAGAGGGCAAGGAGTTAGAGGTCAGGTGGGCTTCTCCACTAGCAACTATTCATCTTGATTTTATAAGCCACTTTCTTCCAGGCCCTCCAGGCCCAGGGGTGGGAACAGCTCTCTGCTGTTACTAGTCCCATGGTCCCATTCTATCTCATGTGAGGTTTCAAAAACCTTGCCCCTATCTTTGTAAACAGTCCCTTTTAAAAGCCCCCTTCAAACTACCCAGCTTGGGAGGGCCATCTGTTTCCCACCAAGATCCTGACTGATAAAGCGAGATTTTGCCAAACTGCCTTAAAAAATGTCTGTATATTCTTATACTTCCACCAGCAGTGTCTACAAGTGTCTGCTCCCCCACATCTTTTTATTATAGTGTATAATGAATCTTCTTAAAACATTACATTTTAATTATAAAATATTTATTAATAAAATGCAGAAATCCTTTAGATTTACAGAGGGCAATATTTGACATCCCCAACTTCGATCTCCTTTATTCTGTTTATTCTTTATTCTTATTTTTAGCTGAGGTATTTTGTTTCATTAAATCATAGTTTAGTTTCTTTTTTTCTTTTTTTTTTTGAGACAGTCTCACTTTGTTGCCCAGGCTGGATGGCAGTGGCATGATCTAGGCTCACTGCAACCTCCACCTCCCAGGTTCAAGCGATTCTCCAGCCTCAGTCTCCTGCGTAGCTGGGAGTACAGATGCGTGCCACCATGCCCCGCTAATTTTTGTATTTTTAGTAGAGACAGGGTTTTACTGTGTTGTCCAGGCTGGTCTCGAACTCCTGACCTCGTGATTCTCCCGCCTCAGCCTCCCAAAGTTCTGGGATTACAAGCGTGAGCTACCTTGCCGGCGGAATCTTGCTGTCTTCTAGTAAGCTCATTAAAGAGATTTGCAAAAATGTAAAACTATGTTACTCCTCTCGCTGAGCTTTTATTGCTTTGAAGAACATTATTTTTTGCATAAAAGTATGTTAACATGTAATGTGTTTTATCGTCATTTAAAAATGGATATTTAAATATTTTCTAAGTTTTAATTTCTAATGTGGTAAATATTGATAAGTATAACCCATATCAACAAATGTTCTTTGGAGTGTTCAACAAATTTTAAGAGCATCAATGGTTCCTAAATCAAGAGTTTCAGAATCACTGTTCTAGGGCAATTTACCTGAGTTTGATTTTACTTACAATTCATTAAAGTGTAGACACTATGAAGACGTGTTAACCTGCATGTTTTATTCTAGAAGAGGTGTAAATCATTTATATCCACTATAAATTATAACCTATGGTTTTATCATCTTGTACAACACCAGCCAGCTTTGTATCCAACCTAATCTTACTCTAATGCTTTGTCAAAATGTTTAAAGTCCACTTCCTCAAAATGCTTTTGAACCACTTTGACAGACACTAACAACATATACATACATGACGTATATATGCATATACATACTATACACACACACGTGCATATTTCACAACGATGGCATACGGATTCCCTATTCTGAATCTAGCTCTTTCCACTTAATATACGTGAACGCACTCACTCTTTTCTTCGTCGTCTTGACTTTCTTCTGATGCAACGCCCTGAGTTTAACTCACAGCTCTGTTATTAATAAGAAACCCATAGATCCCACATATATGCATTTTCCCGTATCTGGCTCACTAACAAAAAGCTTACCGCAGCCCCAGCTTTAACCACAGGTTCCGAATACCCAGGCGGGAATTGAACACAGAAATAAGAAAGGCTCCACAGACAATGTGACAAAAATCCGAGCAGTCACGTGACACTGCACGCCCCATAATTTTTTTTCGCCCTCTTCAAACATGGCGGCCAAGCGACCGCAGCGCAACAGCAGCCACGGGCCTCCTTCCGCGTAGGAACCTCAATGCTGACTTTATCGGGCTCTTTTGTCAAAGACCACCTCAGGGCAAAGCCCGTGGGGCAGCCGGGCCCGGGGAAAACAGCCCGGGGGTCTCAGGGGCCGAACAAGCACGGACCGGAAGTTCTGCAGCCACGCCGTCCGGCGGAGCCGTTGGCTGCGGACGCCGGAAGTGGCCAGTCGGCAGGTCTGAGGCGGCGCTCTGTGTGTGAAGCGTACCTAGGGCGGGAGGCGACATGGAGCCCGGGGCGGCCGAGCTGTATGACCAGGCCCTTCTGGGCATCCTGCAGCACGTGGGCAACGTCCAGGATTTCCTCCGCGTTCTCTTTGGCTTCCTGTACCGCAAGACAGACTTCTATCGCTTGCTGCGCCACCCGTCGGACCGCATGGGCTTCCCACCCGGGGCCGCGCAGGCCCTGGTGCTGCAGGTGAGGCGGGCGGGCCTGCGGTCTGGGGAGCCGCCGCCCCCGGCTTGCCTTGACTCTTGGCGCCCGCTCCTCCAAGCTCTCCCAGCCTGTTTCCTCCTTTTCCTGGTGTCCTGGGGTTGAGCTTTCGAGAATGGCTTCAGTAATTTGAAGCGCGGATTGGATGTCAGTTTATTCCGCTGAGGGAGCCGCCGGGGTTCGCTCCGGACGTCCTGAGGTTTCAGAAGTAGTAAGCCGACTGTTAAGAGCCCTCCTCAGCACCCGGCAGCGCGTACCCCTCACGGTGCTGGGGGCTGCTAGTCAGGGAGTGAAATCCATGCAGGCCAGACAGAAGGAAGGACATTTACAGCAACAGAAACGTGCATGCCCCAGAACTACCAAAGACTTGAGCTGGCGGTGATGACGGAGGCATTGTGTGAATCAATGGGTGTGGCCGCTTGTTTGAAATGTGATTTCCCAGGTCAAAGACTGTCATTGTAGTGATTATTAAAATTTCATTTGAACTTAATTCTGTACCTTCCAGGTTAAGTTTATTGTATGTTGGAAGCGCTGTCAGTACTCATTCAGTAAAGTTGACTGGGCACTTTTGAATGTACTAAGCAACCGTTTGCTGAATGTAGTTTACACTCTTAGGTACGGGTGATAGGGGTGTTTAAGTAGTTGTTTCTCTCTGTTTGTGACACTTACAGTTAAAGAGGGAAAACCCAGAAAGTAATAGAAGACTTTGTAAGGGCAATTATTTGATGGAGCCCATTGTAAAGAAAGGAGATAGAAATGATGGTTGAGAAGTGAAGAAGGTTTTATAGGAGAGATGGGACTTCTGATGAGATTGAAAGAAACTATTCAGCCAAGCATTCAGCCTGTTTGTAGAAACCCAAGAAGACAGAAATGCTGACGATACCTCCCCCAGTTCTCTAGATGTTACAATTTATAAAATGCTTCAGATGTTTCCTCCTGAAATCTTAATGCATGCTGCAGGTTGATCGGATGTTACTTTCCTCAGTAGAAGCCAAAGCTTTGACTGTCTTGGTAACTACCAGGGTAATAGGGCCAAATGAAGAATGGGGTTCCATTAGGGTTCAATTTCAGAACTTAAGGCTATTCCTCATCCTTGTCAGTGGCATAAGTGCCATCTTAGTGATCAGAGAGCTGTTGGAGGTGGCCTTTAGCAGGACCTTACGGCAGGTTAATGAAGTCTTGCCATTTGATCTTCAGTGTCTCTGTGAAATAGGTAAATTTCAAGTTTAAATACCAATTCAGCAAGGTTAAGTGATTTGACCGAGAACACACAGCCATTCACCGTAGAGCTGGAACTAAAAATTTCATTTTGTGAATTCCAAATCTTCCTGTTCTATTATTTAACCATTCCATAGTAGCATGAGAACACTTTTGTCCAGGATGATTGTAGTTTGCAGAAAGGTGTGGAGGAGAAAGGAGTATATACTAATATGTATAGTGTCAGATGTTTTATATTCTGGAGTTGTCTTACTTAACCCTTAACATAACCTGAGAGGTTGATCTTTGTTTCGCAGATGAACTGACAGAGGTAGTGCACTCATTTACCTGGTAACTCATTTACCTGGTAACACCTCTTATAAGACACTTCCATAGGTTAGGGTTTGGTGACCAGTCTAATGAAGTAGTGGACATGGGGAGCAGGGATGGAGGAAGGGGAGGGATGGGTCAATGATGATCCAAGGTTTAAACTTGGGTGACTGGAATAGTGATAATGCATTAACTGAACTGTCACCTGGGTTTAGGGGAAAAAGTTCAGTTTTAGACAGGTTGAACTTGAAGTTCCTGGTAGGAGTCCCTGCCCATAGGCTATTGGAATTACTGGACTAGATCTTTTGGGAGCTAGAGCAACTGGAGTGGTTTGAGGGAGAGAGAAGAGCCAAAGGTGAAGAACAGATCTTGGGGAATAATCTTGGTGGAGAGCAGTAAGTTTCACAGAAACCCAAGAGGACAGTCTTCAGCAAATGGTTAAGAGAGGTGTCATGTTTTCTGGAAGTGGTTCTCAACCATCAGCATCGCTTAAGGAACTTTTTTTTTTTCCCCGGAGACAGAGTCTCACTTTCACCCAGGCTAGAGTGCAGTGGCATGATCTTGGCTCACCGCAACCTCCACCTCCTGGGTTCAAGCAATTCTCCTGCCTCAGCCTCTTGAGTACCTGGGATTGCAGGCATGCACCACCACGCTCGGCTAATTTTTGTATTTTTAGTAGAGATGTGGTTTCACCATGTTGGCCAGGCTGGTCTCAAACTCCTGACCTCGTGGTGTGCCTGCCTCAGCCTCCCAAAGTGCTGGGATTACAGGTGTGAGCCGCTGCACCTGGCCAAGGAACTTTTAAAAACACATATTCCTGGATATTTTGGTTGGGTAGATCAGGGTGAATCCTGGGAACCTGTTCTTTTTTGTGTGTGTGTGTGAGATGGAGTCTTATTCTGTTGCCCAGGCTGGAGTGCTGTGGCGCAATCTTGGCTCACTGCACCTCCACCTCCCGGGTTCAAGTGATTCTCCTGCCTCAGCCTCCCGAGTAGCTGGGATTACAGGCATGCGCCACTATGCCCGGCTAATTTTTGTATTTTCGGTAGTAGAGATGGGATTTCACTACATTGGCCAGGCTGGTCTTGAACTCCTGACCTCAGGTGATCACCCACCTCGGCCTCCCAAAGTGCTGGGATTACAGACATGAGCCACCATGCCCGGCCGGAACCTGTTCTTTTATCCACAAAACCTCATTTGGCAGGAGGCTTGTAAAGGTGATTTCAGTATTGACAAGGATTTTGTTGTGGGGTAGGACAACACTGAATGAGACTGAGTGACTTGGTACCAGCATAACATTATTTCTGTGTGGTAGTAGGTGATCTCCTGACCTCCCCACTCCTACTCATCTGCCTCTTAGGATTTTTTTTTTTTTTTTTCTGTCCCTAACTTGATGGCATAAAACTGCTTCCTGTGGTCTGCCCCTCTACCCCGACCAGAAGTGGGATGCTTGGTGTCTCTGCTGAATATAGGCAGAGAAGAATTTGGATGGGAGTGCTGGGCTGCATCATTGTGGAACTTGAAAGTGTTCCCTTAATATTTTGGGGAGTGCAGTGTTGGTGTAGAGTTAGGCAGCTCATACGTTTCCTCCTAAGAGTTTGCATAGCCTGAATACGCAGCTTGAAGAACCTCAGTAGGAATGATGTATGTGAAAATTGCATTCCACTTTATAATACATTAGTATGTTTTAAGACAAAAATAGTTTAGACCGACAAGCCATTCATTGTAATCGATAATGCTGTTTTTTTTTCTTTTGGAGTCCACTTTGAGAAGTGCTCCTTTGTAGAAGTCCTTGAAACTAGAATCAGGAAAGCTAGCTACATCCTGTTCCTCACATAAATTGTTGGGAAATCTTGGGAGAGTCACTTCACCTCTTGTCAGCTGAGAAGATTGATTGGAGGTCACAGATTGGAGTTCTCTTCCAGCTCCATGTTCTGTGACTCTGGAATGAATACTGAGAACACGTGATGGTTGGGAGGTTGGCAGTGGTAGCACTTCCTGGTGGTGTGAATGGGTAGGTCAGAGAAGGCTGGATGTACTGAGTGAGCAGAGGCAGTGGCATGGTGAGGACTATCAAGTCTGGGGATTCTGTGTTAGAAGTCTCAGGTGTTAGGAGAGAGAGTTCTTGTTGCTTTGCTTTTGTGGAGTTAAGATGAGCTGGAGTATCAGGAGGATGAGCAACTCTGACAGCAGTGGACTCAAAGCGGTAGAAACATGAATGTTAGAATGTAGTCAGGGCTTCAGGTTATCTGCAGAAGTAAAAGTAGTTCTGGTGTTGTTTCCAGTTTTTAACCTTTTAGGATTTTATTGATTTTTTTTTTCCCCTCTGCGTACATCATCATCTCCTTGCACTGTGTGGTGCGTGCTGCGTAATTTTTTACTTCTTTTGCCAGCAGGAGCTGGGGCAAGTTACTTAACCTTTCCAAGCCCTATTTTTTCTCATTTTTGAAATGTTGATGCTGTCTTCTTCACAGGATTTTTGTGAGGGTTTTGAGAGAATGTTTGTAGAATCATTTGACACAGTCTGTTAGCACCCTTTTGACTGCCTGTGCAGTGCACACAACATTGTTATTTAATACCTGTCCACATTCTAGCCCTTTAGAATCTGACTCCCACCCATGTCCCAGGTTGCTCTCTCAGCCTTTCCTCCCTCCAGTTGTTGCAAGAGTTTTTGCCATTCCTTGACAAGCCTATTCTTGGAGCTATGGCGTTTCCTCCAATGGTTCCCTGTGGAAGATGTGCCTCTCATTCAAGGTCTAACTGGAATCCTCCTTGTTCCAAGAAGTCTCCCTAGATTTCTTTTGCTCATTCCCACCCATACTCTGACAGGGAATTAAGGGCTCTATCACGCCCCCTCTTGTATCAGAGTTTTCATGTGTGGGTATGTCTTCACTGTACTTTTTTGGTAGAGAGGTCCCAGCACCTTCATGGGTGTGACTGTGTCCCAGAAAATGTTAAGAACTTATTTACACACCAGAATTTTGAGTTCTTAGGAGGCAGCAGAAATCATTTTCATGTGTTTTTTTTTTTTGTTTGTGTGTTTCTTGCACACTGTAGGCACATAGTAGATGTTTGTTGAATTGAATGTCCATGCAGTGTGGTGAAAAATAGCAGCAGTCCAGTAAACCTGGTTGCATTTGGAGAATTGAAGTTCAGCCATATTTTCATGTTTCTTTTGTGAGTCTGAATTTTGGATCCTTTATAACCCACAGTTGTACCAGGACCGTGTATTCTTTGCATTGTGAACAAAACTGGGGTCTGTAAAAATAATGACAACAAAGACCATCTAACTGTGCATATTTTAGGTTTGTAAATATTGTTAGCCTTGGTTTGTAAGTTTTTGATTTTGTTGATTTTGGAATCCTCCTGTTAAACACTGTTTACCTGTCAGCTTTTGGTGAAGTGGCAGTGCATTTCCATTTTTCAAGTGGGAAAACTTGTCAGTTTATGACTTTTAGTTCTCTCCTTAACAGATTTTACCACATTTCTACAAGATATGTGGTACAGTATTGGGCAGATGAACTGATTGCTGGGTTGCTGTTTGATTTTAGGTATTCAAAACCTTTGACCACATGGCCCGTCAGGATGATGAGAAGAGAAGGCAGGAACTTGAAGAGAAAATCAGAAGAAAGGAAGAAGAAGAGGCCAAGACTGTGTCATCCGCTGCAGCTGAGAAGGAGCCAGTCCCAGTTCCAGTCCAGGAAATAGAGATTGACTCCACCACAGAATTGGGTGGGCGTCAGGAAGTAGAGAAAGTGCAGCCTCCAGGCCCACAGGACCCTGTGAAGGAAATGGCCCATGGCTCACAGGAGGCAGAAGCTCCAGGAGCAGTTGCTGGTGCTGCTGAAGTCCCTAGGGAACCACCAGCTCTTCCCAGGTGGGAATTTCTACTTTGCAGCTTCCTTCTTTCTTGCTTGACATCTGGTGTTTGTGTTTGTCCATAATTCATTCTTTGTAACACATCAATTCTTGATGTCAGTGTTTATTTAGCTCTTCATATTTGCAAACTGCTGCATTACAGTCTTTCAGTTACGTAGGATGGGAGGTCAGTTGGCTTAAGGTCAGTTCCCTCATTAGGTAAGGTCAGTAGTCATACAACCATTTGAGATACAGAGCCAAAATTAGAGCCTTGACTCCTCTCACAAAGACCTAACTTTATCTGTGTTTAGAGGCTTAGCCTCATCAGCTCTATTGTTTGTGTTTTTCTCTCTGCAGGAGCACTGCTAGGATGTGCTCATAGTGCCTGAGGTATAATGGACACCTGAAATGGCAGTCTGTTTTAGGTGACTGGATTCACATCGTGGCTATGCTGCTTCCTGAAATGTATTACCTTGAGCAAGCAGTATAATCTTTCTGTGTCTCAGTTTTCTCCTCTGTAAAATGTCGGTGATAATAATAGTACTTGTCTTATAGAGCTGTTGTGAATTTTAAATGAGCCGATAGTCAAGCAGCTAATGAGCAGTAGAGCTTGAATGTGACATAAGGTTTCCCTGAATCAAGCCTCATGCTGTACTTGTACTCACTTTTTAGGAGTTATGTTTCGTGGGTGCTCTAAACTTAGTTATACAGTCCTTCCTTGCAGTCTGAGTGAGAGGAGCTGATCCCTTCTTGTGTGGGAGTTGTAGCAGTGTCTGCAAGACAGCCATGAGCCTCTTGGCCTGCTTTGTTTTTTGGAAAATTCACTCTCTTCCCTCTTTGATAGGATGGGTCACCTGTGTCCCCCCGAATCCCTGCCACCTTGAGTTCTCTTCTGTTTTTCTTACTCCTGTGCTCTCTTTCTGACCTGTTTTGGGGGAGATTGTGTGTGTGCATGCACATTTTTAAATAGAAACCGGATCTTACTCTGTTGCCCAGGCTGGAGTGCAGTGGTGTGATCATAGCGCAATATATGAATTGAACTCTTGGACTCCAGCAATCCTCTCGCCTCAGCCTCCTGAGTAGCTGGGACCGTAGGCATGCACCACCACATCTGGTTAATTTTATAATTTTTTGTAGAGATGTCTGCCATTATACCTGGCTAAATTTTTAAAAGATTTTCTTGCTGTATTGCCTAGGCTGTGGGGGAGTTTTTGAATTTTTTTTTTCTAGTTAGTGAAGCAAAGTGAACAACTTGGAACGGCTTATAAAATATGGAGTAAGAGAAAATAAGTTTTGTAAAGACAGGAGGGGCAAGATTGCAGAGTCTTAAAGGCCGGGCTAACTAATGAAGTTCAGAGAAAACAATTGTTTGATGGTGGAACCAAATTGATGGAGAAGGGGAGCAGTTCTTGAATATGGAGCTCTGGATGAGAAGGGGTGAAATAAAGATTTAGAGATTGGAAGTGGGAAATATAGGGTGGAAGGCAGACATCTGATATTTCCTTGCAGATCTTTTAAAAATATTTTTTGTAGTACAAATCTGCTGATAGTGAATTCTTTCAGCTTTTTTGTCTGAAAATGCCTTTATTTCATCTTGCATGTCTGAGGATAATTTTGCTGGATATAGAATTGCAGTTGACACTTTTTTTTGTTTTTGGTTTTCTTTAAACATTTTAAAGACTGTAATTCCATTGTCTTCTAGCTTGCACTGTTTCTGATGAGAAGTGAGTAGACATTCTTTGTTCCCCTGTATGTGAAATATCCTCATTCTTTTGTTATATCAGCTGCTTTTAAGTTATTATCATTAGTTTGAGCAGTTTAAGATTTACTCAGGCATGATTTTCGTTGTGTTTATACTATTTGGGGACTTTTGTGCCCACCCCTCAACCCCAACACACACACACACACACACACTCAGACACACACACACACACACACACACACACACACATACACACACACACACACACTCTCTTAGGAGGTCTGTTTTCTCTTTGTCCTTCCTTTGGAATATTTTCTGTTGACCTGCCTTCAACTTTACTGTCTTTTCTCCTTTAGTGTCCAATCTTTAGTTAAACTCATCTAGTAACTTCTTAATTTCAGATAGTTTATTTTTCAGCCCTGCTGGTTCCCTTTGATTGTTTTTTATGGCTTCGATTCCTACCTTGGTTTTCCTTTAAATCCTTCAGTATACTTACAATAGTTTAAAGTCTTTATCTGCTAATTCCGTTATCTCTGTGATTTCTTGGTTTATTTCTATGGATTGAGTTTTCTCCTGATTTTGGGTCACATTTTCTTTTTCTTTCAAATGTCTGATAATTTTTGATTGGATGCTAGACATTAACAAATGTTATGCTGTCGAGTCTCTGGGTTTTGGTTTCTTCTGTTGAGTGTTGAGTTTTGTTCTTGCAGGCAATTAATTTATTTGCTGATCAGAATGATCTTTTTGAAGCTTGGTTTTTATTTGTATTGATTGATCAATTGATTGTAGAGATGGAGTCTTAATGTTACCCAAGCTGATCTGGAACTCCTGGTCCCAAATGATCTTCTCACCTTGGCTTACCAAAGTGCTGGGATTATAAGTGTGCACCAATGTGTCTGGCCTTGTTTTTCAGTTTTGTTAAGCTGTGTCTAGGGTACTTTTATTTTAAAGCTAGCTTAGTCTTCTAAGACATGCCTTTTTGGGGCTTCTGAGTGCTCCAGCTGTTTAGTGAGGTCTTTCCATTCTGGCTGGTTGAGGCTTGAACATCTCCCAGCTCCAGGGATTGTCCATCAGTTACCCAGTTCCCTACTTGTCTCATGGAGTTGCACTTTACACGTGTGCAGTTTTGTATTCAGCCAAAGACTCAAGGGGATCCTATGAGGTTTTCTAGAGTTCTATATGTAGCCCCTCCTTACTAGTAGTCTTTCTGTAAAATAATCAGATGTGAGAATGAAGATTGAATATACAAAGTTGTTTGTCATAGTCCACTTATGCTGCTATAACAAAATAATATAGCCCGGGTGGCTTATAGACTACAGAAATTTATTGCTTACAGTTCTAGAGACTAGAAGTCTAAGGTCAAGACTGGCCGATTCAATGTCTGGTGAGAGCCCACTTTCTGATTCATAGTTACCTCACTGTGTCCTCAAATGCTGAAAGAGGTGAGAGAATGCTCTCAAGTCTTTTATGAGGGCACTAATTCCAGTCATGAAGGCAGAGCCGTAATCACCTCGCGAAGTACTAATCCCAATATCTTGGGATTAAGATTTAGCATAGGAATTTTGGGACACAAACATTCAGTCTATAGCATTGTTCACTTCAGTTCTATTTATTCCAACATTACTTATATTAGCAAAATTTTGGAAGAATGCTGAATTTCTATAGTAAGGGAATGGATAAATACATTTATAAAATGCTTTTAAAGATTACTGACACGGTTATTGTGATGGTCAGTTTCATTTGTCAGTTTGGCTAAGTTACAGTCCTGGTTATTCAGTCAAACACTCATCTTGGCATTGCTGTCACGGTATTTTGTGGATGTGATACAAGTTAATAATTGGTTGACTTTAAGTAAGGGTGATTGTCCTAGGTGATCTGAGTGGGCTTGATCTATCAGCTGAAAGCCTGAAGAACACAGCAGAGCTCCCCTGACGTAGAAGAAATTTCTCCGATGGACAGCAGCTGCACTCAGTGTCTGGAGAGTTCCACATTGGCCTGCTATGTGGATTTCAGACTGGCCTAGCCAGCCCCCACAATCATGTAAGCCAATTTCTTGCAGTAACTCTCTTAATAAATACATTTATCCCTTGGTATCTGCAGGGGATTGGTTCCAGGTCCCTCGTGGATACCAAAATTCATGGATGGTTAGGTCTCTTACATAAAACAGTATAATATTTGTGTATAACCTATGCACATTCTCCCGTATACTTTAAATCATCTCTAGATTACTTACAATCCCTAATACAATGTAAATGCTATGTAAATACTTGTTACACTGTATTATTTAGGGAATAATGACAAGAAGTTTGTACATGTTCAGCACAGACAAAACAATCCTTTTTTTTTTTTTTTTGAATTTTATTTTATATTTTTTGATACTGCGTCTTGCTCTGTTTGCAGTGACTTGATCTTGTTTCACTCTAGCCTCTGCCTTCTGAGCTCAAGCGATCCTCCCACCTCAGCCTCCCAAGTAGCTGGGACTACAGGTGTGCACCACCTTGCCCAGCTGATTTTTGTGTTTTTTGTAGAGATAGGGTCTTACTATGTTGCCCAGGCTGGGGTCGAACTCCTGAACTCAAGTGATTCACTCGCCTCAGCCTCCTAAAGTGCTGGGATTACAAGTGTGAGCCACCATGCCTGGCCTTTTTTTGGGAGTATTTTTGATCTGCAGCAAATATTTTGATCAATATTTTTTGGGAATATTTTGATTTGGGATATGGAACCCATGGATAGCGAGGACTGACTATATCTGCTGCTTCTGTTTCTTTGGTGGAACCTTGACTTATACAGATATTTTCATGATATAATGTTAAGTGAGAAGGGGAGAATTCAAACTATATAGTCTAACATCAAATTTGAAAACTTTAAAAATTATATATGTAGAAAAAAAGGCTGGAAGAAAATAATAGTAGTAATCCCAGAGTGGTGGAATTGTGTTCTTCATTTTTATCTTTGTCGCTTACTATATTTTCTAATTTTTCTGTAATGACCATTTATTTTGTTTCATTAATTTTTTTGTGTGCCTTTTATGATCTCTAAAAAATGAAAAGAGGGGATTGGTTTTGATTTCTGAGTAATAGACTAGAATAGCTACTTTGTTGTTTTATAGAGACCCTATTTTAAAATTCTTGAACCAATGAATTATGTTCTGGGTTAGAATTAGAGTTAGTTTTGTGAGTTCTACCTTAAAAATAAGTATAGAGTGAAGACTTGCATATGTTTCCGGAAAGGTAACCTTTCTACTTGGTAGCTCTTTGTTCAGAATAGACTGGTATTGCGAGAATCCTAATCAAACATTTCCAAGGACTGGAACATTC